AATTTTATATCTTAAAAAGTACAAGTAAACTGTTGCATTTTTCTTATTATATTTATTGTGAACATATAATTGAGAGAAATATTTATAAATATCTTATTTTCTTCATAGAAAAAACACATATACAAGCCAAAAGAAAAATCTGAGTACAGAAAAGTCATAAGTACCTATTCATATACTAATATTTAGGTGCTACTTGCGTATGTGATCAATGTGCATGATTCTTCTTACATATATCAACTACCTTAAAGAAAAAAGAAAAAAATCTGTCCAAATATTAAAATCTCATCTAGATTTCATTTGCTGGAAAATTATGTGATCCAATGCCCAAAATTTATTTATTGCATTTCTGAATGATTTTTAAAGCAGTGATAGTATTAGTTAAAATAATAATTTCCTTTAGTTTATCATATGGTATTGTTTAGTTTATTATTATAATATATTAAATAAAGTCAGTCAGTTATGTGCCCTACATGATACATGCTTAGGTGATCATATATCTTTTGATACATGACTGATGAGGCAGATTTTTTCCTGCAGTAGGTTGCCATTTCTTTCCGCGGTAGACCAGTTGCCATCCAAGGCTACAGAACCTGGTCTGTCTTGCTATTTACCCATAGCTAGCTAGGGAGGGAGAAGAAGAGGATTTATACCTTTCCCAAGGGTATTAGCACATAAGTGAATGTAATGGATTCAAGTGGAATTCGAACTCAGCTCTCCGATTCTTCAATCCAAGCCACTATCCATTACTCCACTGTGCCTTTTCCAATACTCCATCATTTAAATAAAGACTACTCCTTTTTCTTGTCTTATTCTGTCTATACATATTTTTAATGTATAATTTAATGTAGAGAATTTTCTCAGCTTGTAGATCACATACCTTAGTGATGCGTTGTTTTGGTAGATTATACTCGGAAGTTAGATTACATACTTAAGTAGCACCAATATTTATACAGTATATACCTATTGATATACTTATATTATACTACTGGGTACCAAGTGTATCAGTGAGTGGCAAGGTATATAAATAAATACCAGTGTCCATTGCTTTAATATGTAAACATTTAGCTTTCCTTACCTACTTGTGATGAAAGACCACTTAGATTTATGAGTCTCATGGAACAGCTGAAGAATGAATGATAAAAAAATGACCAATATGCCATGCCTTGTCTTGTCTTTAACTTTCCTTACTTAGATGCAATGAAAGTCTGCTTAAATTTATGAGCAGCTCATGGATGACCAAAACTGATAAAACTTTACATTACCCACAATGGCAAAATTATATTTCCAATGTTAAAATACTAATATGATGGGCAATGCTCTAGTATAACAATTTGCTGGAGTAAGTTTGGAAACTTTACAATTAGGCTAATAAAGGCATCAGATAAGCAGGAAAATATTGCCCTTCTCATAAAAAATTTCAATCATATGAAAAAAAAAAAAAAAAAACTAAAGCAAACCTTTGAAAATAATTCTATACTTAGTTTTACATACGAATTTAATATGAATAAAAAAAATCCATTTTCTCAATGTGCTCATCAATAATAATGACCAAAACTTCATTTCTGCCAACAAAAAAAATCTGCCAGTAGTAATTCCTGTCTCTTTAATTATTAAAGTAAATGTCTTTATCAATTACAAGATGGCAGCCATAAAAAGATCTTATTAACTGTTCTAAATTAATCTCTTCCTATACAACAATATTCTATATTCAATTTTATTTGACTTCATTCGAGATCATAGAATCCACAACCCCATGCCACAGTTAATTGTGAACATAATCTTTTTAATGGCTGCAAAATATGAGTCACACCAGAGTTACATAAACAGTTTTGAATTCAGAGTTGTCCTTCCAGATTGGTTGCCTGTCATGGTTAGAGAGCACAGTCTGACCTGCTATTTACTGGGTTATGGGGGAAAGAGTTGGATTCAGCTGAAATTTGAACTCAGCTTGTTGATTTCTCTTAACCATTATACTATCCACACATTATCCAATATTAAACAAACATTCAGTAATAATAACTTTAATAATGTGATATAAATGGACATCTTAAAACAAAAAAAATATTAATATCAAAATAGAGGGGTTAAAAAAAGTAACATTACTGTAAAGTGGTAATATAACAAATACAACACAATTTCTTGTCAGAGCTAAATCAAGGACTAATTCCAAATTTCTTTTGAAGGTGTTAGAATCCATTTACATTTAGTCCTATAAGCCATCTCTCTGTAAGTAAAAAGAGTAGTTGATAATCTTAAAGATGATTAGCCTGAAGGTGTTACATTTATATAATATTTGGTCTTTGGCATTAATTTTTAGTTGCTGCACATATTTTTCATCCTTGATTTAGCTCTGACAAGAGAGGACTGATAAACCAGTTTAGCAGTCTTTTTTGTCAATTATGTTGTATTTCAGTATTACCATTTTACAGTAATATAATTCTTTTTGTTTTTAATATTCTTCTTGTTCTAACATGTCTGTTTTTATTACTTTAATAAAATTTTGTATCTTGCAAAATATTTCAATAACAATTTTCCTAATTGCATTATAGAGGAATAGATAAAATTGTTTTTACAGACAATCATAATAACATGCATAATAACCAGATTTAAACCACAACAAAAAATACTATTAACTGATTTTACTGTCACCAGAAGCACCCCAATTATCTAAAAGACAAAAAAGCAATAAAAAAATAATAATCTATAGCTATATAACTTCATGAAATAGTGAAAATATCGTAAGATTCATCATATACAACAAAAAGATTCAAAACTCTCAACCTTGTAGCTATTAATGACTTTTTTTCACAGAAAAAAGCAAAACACTTTGCCAAAGACTCATGTTGTATGTTCTTTGAGATACTGTGTTAATAATAGTAATAATAAATATCAACATATATTGGTCATACAAGACTTCTTTGGAGAAGATTGATCTGTCATCTCTACAGGCAAAGTCCCAGATACATATATTTAACATATATACTTGGTGTTGCTTCTAATCAAATTATGGTCAATAATACAACAGTACTCTGCTAATCTAATCCCCCAAAATACTAGTAAAAATTTTGGAAGCACTTCACATCAAAAGACTCACTAATAAAATTTATTTCAGTTTTGTATGCATGTGTTCAAATGCCTTTGAACCATAAGGCCATTTTAGCTAAAATCTACTCCACAGTTATAGCATGTGAAGCCATATTCATTTTAAATATAAATGATCCACTGGCTATTTCTTGATTTCTTTCCTTGAAAATGATCAATAATTGTTGAAAATACTCAAAACATTACACATGATTTCAACAAATTCTTTTATAAGTTTCACCTAATATCAAACAACATTTGACATCAGGAGAAACTCACCAAAACTAAAAGACATTTCTTGTCTATTCAATAAAACATATTTAAATGAAAATATGTTGCATATATATATATATACATATATATATTGGATATTCATCAAAATCCTGCTTTAACAAATTTCATCTGTCAGTGTGGCTTTGTTGCACACAGCAAGGCTGGGCTAGTATCACACTTAAGAAAGCACAGATGAAATATGTCTTTCCCTTACCTGATTTTCTCCACAATAGCTCCTGCTAGCATGCAAACGTGTAAAACGAAATGCACCATCCAATGCTGACCCTCATTTATCGTTCACGATAGGAGAGTCCACCATATATCTCCTTATGTCATAATGACGTAGTGTATGTGTGTATAGTTGAATGAATGGTTTTAGGTTAAGATAGTAAGAGTGTCTTTTCTTATTCCAGTTACAAATTTTAAGTTGAGACTTAAAGCCACCATCTTAGAGACAGAAAGATTAACACTAGAGATGTTGTAAACAAAACTCAGATTACTGATCTTCAGAGCTGAATTCTTAATCTTAACAGTTTCATGCATATAGAACAACAAAGTTAATTAAATATCTTGTCTTAGATGATTTAATCATCATCTAAGACACAAGCTTTTTATTTTTGTAAGATATGGTAGATGGAGAGAGATCCGTAACCTGAGTCTTGTTTACAATAACTCTAGAGTAAAACCTATCAAATTTCAGTTGCTTTAAGTCATGGCAAAAATTTGTAACTGAAATAAAAAAAAATTTAACTTACCACCTTAACTTAAGACCATAGATTCAACCACACACACACACACACACATATATATATATATATATATATAGAGAGAGAGAGAGACATGTTTCATTGAATAATTTAGACAAGTTTTGTTTACAATTTTTAATTAGATCTTTTCACATTCACAGACTAGCTTTTTGGCATCATTATTAAAGGAAGAGAGAAAATTACCATGGTGATACATATTTTATTCCAAGTACTTTCAACATAGCAAAATATCATCATCAGAGTATTGTTAATTTTGAAACATGTTTCAATGAAAACATGCTGTCAAAATATATATATATATATATATATATATATATATAAAGAAATATAGTCTTAAGGTGTGCTATATTTATGGGATAAAGTGCTCAATATCAGAGATAGAGCGTGTGTAAATATAAAAGTGAACATAGAAGTCAACACTTAGAGGCGACAGTCTGTTTCATGCTATATGCAATCGTCAGGGCGTCTAAGTGTTGACTTCTATGTTCACTTATATATATATATATATATATATACACACACACACACACACACACACACACACACCATGTTTAGCATCATTATGGCATAGATATGAAAATCTTATGTTACCTATATGTAATTAGAGGTATCAAGATCTATATGAACACTCTTCTCAAACTGAGAAAAGAACAGATACTATACTTTCATCATGGCTCGCCAGATAAAATACCAAGTTAATATTCCACACTGAAGATAAGTGATTTAAAATTATACATTTAAACCACAAAACATGCATCAGAAAAAATTTAATAACAAAAATGAATATCAATGTGCAGAAGCTATTTTCAAGAAATACATGTTAAGTTAGATTGACACTTTAGTGAAAGAATATAAAAGCGTTTTGCTGTTATTACTCACCTCAGCCTCAATTTCTTTCCATTTTTGCTCTTTAGGTGTGTCACTGAATAGATCTCTAACTAAACCCATTTTCAGCAAGAAGTTATCAAATTCTCTGGAAAAGAGAAAAATTAATCAAACAATTGTCTAATCAAAATAAAGAAAGATAAATATTTTTAAAAAATCAAGCTTCATGAATATATCTTTTTGGTTTAATAACTAATAACACTTGTCTATATTTCTGAGATGAAGCAGTGTAACTATTTACACTATTCAGATTGTTGTCCTCATCTTTATTGTTACATTCACAAGCTTTTGGCCATTGTATGATTCTTCTGAATTTTTAACCAAACCCAGAAAAGTCAATCAGTATGAAAAAGAACTTTGCCAATCTCTGTCATGATATTTGGAAGCAGTGGGTTGAGGAAATGGAACAGATTCTCAGTGACTTTACTGAGCAACCTAGGAAATAAACATGGGAAGGACATCTAAACAAACATGATCGAACCAATCTTCTGAATTGCCAACATAGAGATTGACTATTCTAGGTTCAGATCAAAATTCAAAAAAGTATCACCTGAAGAAGTCTGGAGTATACCATGGCTGAAATGTTGTGAATGTGACAATAAAGATGAAGACAACAGTCTGAATAATGTAAATAGTATAAATATCTAACGACATTGTTAATGCTTTTGAGGTTATCAAAAGCTAATATGAAAAGATAATGATGAAAATAGTTTTTAGGATACAAAGATAAATAGTTATCTTTTTCATGATAAAGACTGAAGATAATAAAATATAGTTTCTGTTTACATCCATCATTTTCACTTTCATGCAGCCAACTTCATTTATTGATTGATTTGTTTTTTATAGTTTACCAACCTTTTTAAGGTTATTTAAAGCCGAAAGATAATTTTGGATTGTAAAAAATTTTGGGGGATAATAATAATTTTCTGATACAAGTCTTACTATTTAAACCATAGCTGGGAGGAGAAGAGCTGGAATTATACCTTTCCAAGAGTATTTGTATGTAAGTGAATACAATGAACCTAGCTGGAATTTGAACTCAGCTCTCCAAGTTGTTATCCACTGCACCACCCTCACATTCAAACTTACAGCATCTAGTATCCCTGAGTGGTCACTCATCTAGGTACTGACTAGGTTTAACATTGCTTAACTCTAATGGTCAGATGAGAATTGCAACTTCATTTATATATAATTTTTTTTTTTTAATGTAAATTAAGTTTTTCTTATTTTTTTTTTGTCTCCTTTGAAATAATTATTAAAACTAAGAAATACTTTAAGAAAATAATTATGATTATTTAGATTTTAGTGTTCAAGTTCATTAATCAGAATTCAAATTGGAAAAAAATCTCAGGTTTCTATGAACAAAAAAATAATACTATTATCTGAAAATTATTTATCAAATGGCTCATTAAAATAAAATGATCTATTCATCTTTGACATACAAGTCAGTTTTGGCAAAAACAAAGCTAAATAGTTACAACTACATAATATTTAAGCCTTAAATAATTCTCACCTGTGTTGGAGATGTCTATTTCAAAAAGTACAAGCTTCCAGATTATCATCAATAGAATTTTATATTACCATTCTTAGAAATCCCTGGAAAGTACAAGTTTTTCTTTGGAATCTTCATGTACTTGATAAGTCAAAAAAAAAATTTTTTTTCTGAAGGAACTTTTGTGAAAACCAGCATGGAGGGGGCACAAGAGATCCATTTATACTTTTTGTATCTTGTTCTTCAACACAGTTGAGTTTTTATCCCTTGGGTACACAGATACGACAGCTAATTCAAGAACATAACTCCCACTATCCCAAGGAAGACTTTTTAGTATCACTATCATTTAGTTGGCATATAGAAAGATAGGAAAAAAATTTGTACAAGGTAGGGTTTGGAGGTAAGTAGAAATATGTGTTCATATGGGGTGGGGAGACACCTTTTTTTTGGTATGTATATTTAAGGATGCATCCATGTGCACTAATAGATTTCTGTAAGTAAGGAAGCAAAAAAATAATTTGTTTACATAGTAGTGAAAAAGAGATTGCATATATGATTTCTTTTGAAGGTACAATTCTTTATAGCTATTACAAACTAAAGATTCAAGCTCTGTATTTGACCTACATTACATTTTTAATTGCTATCATGTGACTTCTTAGAGACTAAATAAAATCACAAACAATAGGTTTGTATATATCAATAATACTTTTTATTTGCTTCATTACCTTTTTAAAATCTATATGACCATCATTCACACACCTATACTCATAGGATGAAAACAGATAAAACAAATATGTATACATCAAATTGTTTATATATTTGATGCTTCAGGAAAAAAAAAAAAAAACATTCATAAAAAATAAAAAAATTAGTACATCTATATAGACAAAAATACAGTCCAGTGCTTTATAACACACAAAGCACGTCAAGCAATGTTTTTAGTTTTTCTTGTGATGAAAGCTTGCTTAAATTTGGGGAGGGGGGGGGGTTCTGAAGTATGGAATACACAAAAATGAGAAAACCTGTTATTGCAAAAGTATATTATCATATAACACAGCAGTTCCCAACCACTGGGATGTGGATCATTTGGTACCAGGCCATACAGAAGGAATAAAACCTTCTTTTTTCCCCACTTTATTGTTTTTGTTAATGCGTGTGACTGACCCCCACTCCTCAGTCTGTGGAAAAACTGTCTTGCATGACATTTCTGTCAACGGTGCAAAAAGGTTTAGAACCCCTGATATAACAGACAACAATCTAGTGTTTTATACAAGGAATGTTGAAAGGTTCTTGTGCGCAACCAAGGAGACCAGCCAAAAAAAAAAAAAAACTTTTATGTTTGATCCTTTGGTTAACGAGTCAGGTTGAGAACTATTCAGCACCCCCTTGTAATGAAACTTTAGCAGCCAAATAAAACCTATCAGTTACTTTAAAAAGAAAAATTTCCAATTTTTTCATTAACTTTCCAACAACTCTTACAAAAGAGTAATCTCTCATTATAAAACCTATACCTCTATTTTATTTATAAAGTCTGTTCAAAATACAACTAGCTATTCTCAAAAGTGTTTGTGGGAGGGCCTTGATGTAACTTGGCAGCCAATCAATAAGGACTGTGTATACATGGAGTTTCTCAGTCAATAGTAAAGAAAGTGGACATTAATTGCTTTTTATACAGTGTACATTAATATCTATCTTCATACTTCTTATGATTTTGAAAAGAGCCATTGCCCATTACCAGGTACTGGACTGCAGAACTTATACTTATGCTATTTTGATGGTTAATTCTCCCTCATAGATTTTACACTTGAAGAAGGCTGTAGAATGAATCAGCAGAAAATATTGGTGTCACAAAACAACATAAAGAATAAGGTTGTCTTAAGATTTATCTATATCTCTCTCTCTTCACAAATACACATAAATATGTATACATTTATAAGGGTGCATCAATAAGTTAGAAAACATTAACTGAATTTAGAATGTCCAGTTTATATAGTTAATAGCCACCACTGGATTAAGTGCATTTACAAGGAAAAAAAATTATGTTGAAAAATTAATATTTGTTGTGCAAAATAAATGCTTTTTTTCATCCAAAGGCTACAGACCTATTCATTTATCTATCATAGTTATTTTCATCACCTTTAACCTGTTTGCAGTTTTAAAGCCTTATTAAATATGATATTAAAAGATCAGCAACTCCAGAACAATTAACCACAAATTGCAAATAGCTGTTTTAGTAAAGCTAAGTAAAAGAAATTAAAAAAAAACTCCAAAAACAACTGGTATAACAATGTAAGGATTAAAATATGCTTACTGATATATTTTATATTCATCTTTGTTTATTCAATTAAAAAATATATCACTTAAAAACTATATAAAAAAAATTTAGTCAGGATTACAAATAATTTAAAAAAAATATTTATTTACACTATTTACAAGCAGACTGTTGTTATTGTAGAAGTCAAATGATGTGCATTCTGAACTTCATCAGGTGTATGTCAATCTGGGTAACCTAAAGGTAATTCTGAACTGAACCCTTTATTTAATCTATGGAGGTAGACTGTTCTAGTTCCACTGTCCATGCCTGAGAATATCTTGTCTAGTTTCTTATTTTTATTACAGCTCACCCAGTTTTCCACAAAGTTCAAGTACACACTGCCCAGTCCAACACACAATTATTATGTTACCAAATTCATGAACTAATGCTTTAATCCACTAGGCTATTGTGCCATAGGACAATTGTTTGTGGAGAACTTGGAGCCTTAAACCTAACCTGTCTGCTGCTTGTCATGTTAGACTGCACTCATTGAAGTTTTTCTCTTTTGCTAAAGCTGATTTGCTGTCATTTGTCTTTCTTTCAGAGGGTATAATGGCCAAAATGTTGCGATAACTACAACAAAGATGAGGACAATAGTCCGCTTGTAAATAGTGTAAATAATGATAACACCTTATCCAAGAAATTCAGATAGATATTAAAAAAATGGATTGAGTAGAATAAATGAGAAACCAATGCAAAAGAAATTGTAAAGCATAAAAAACTGGATTTAAGCTTTCAAAATTTGTTGATATCTCTGGGTCTCTTTTATAGTATGAAAAATAACTCACTTTACAAAATGTTTTCATCCTGAAGACTAAAATTTCTTGATAACAGAGATAAAATCAGTGACATATATTGAATATAGGTGGGAAAAATATTTATGTTCACCCATATATATCTTTGTAGGTTTATGGTAATTAGCATAATAGCTTACAAATCACATTAGAATAAATGTAATCTTATAACTTATAAACGTAAGAGTCACAATAAACTTTTAGCTTTCTTTTTAAGAGTTTGAAAAACTAATTTAACAATCAAGTACAAAGAGTTGTATTCATGACAGACTACAGTAAACATAAATAAACTTTTTTTATGCAATGGGCACAAAAATATTTATGACTCATTTTGTGATATTTATTGTGGTAGCTAGGAACTGAATCTGGACTATCTGAGGTATACATGTATGTATGTATGTACACTTGATTATTTCCTTTCTATCATACACACACACACACACGCACACATTACTTTAAATATTATATTTAGTAGATATATGTTTGAGTAGACATATCTGTTTTGCAAACAGTGTAAATTGATGTTTACCAGCCTGTGCATTTGAGAGTCTTATAGAGTGAATTTGCTTTCCAGGAGGTTTCAAACCTAAATCCCCCTTGTAGAGGAAACCAACATTAAGTTGGCATGCTTTTAGACTACTCAGCCAGAGAAGACTTTCACAATGAAGCAAGGTTCAATTACCCTATTTAAGAAATGCACATATCTTCTGATCTCTTGAAGCGCCTACTTATTTTTGTAAGTGAAATGTAAGCAAAGTAATTTCTCAGGAATTAATGGATTTATTTATAATCCAACGTTATTTCTTATTACTTAAAATAGTATATTTAATGGATATGCACATTTTTGTAGACATCTGTTTTGTAAACAGTGTAAATTTATGTCTACTGACCAGTGCATTTGAGAGCCTTGATAAAGTGAATTTGCTTTCCATCAGGTTTCAAATTTATTTACCCCCCCCACCCTGCCTGTAGGGGAAACCAACATTAAGTTGACATGCTTTTAGACAACCTTGCTTTTTAAACAGTGTCAAGCTACTAGTTTGTGAATTCAAGGTTCTTAATAAAGAAAATATATATGATTGAATGAGTGAAAGAGATAGGTTGCAATGAGATATATAAGTAAGTGTATTAATGTAAATTTTCATTCCAAAATTTGTATGCATATGCTTCTGTCTTTGAGACATCAGTCCTCAAAACAGCTTACCCTTACTGGTAAGTAGGGTGCTGTGTGAACATGCTTATGCATGAGTGTAGATGCTTTGCATGGATTCCTTACAAGATAAGAATGTTGTCTTTTAGAATCTGACTGGAGCTAATCAGATAAGATCTTTGCATTACTGTAAAGACATGACTCATAAGAATCTCAACAGAAAACAATAAATCAACAAACAACACCCACAAAAAAAAAGATTAAAAAAAATTAAAAAAGTAGTAACAAAAAAAAAAAAAAAAGCAGGCGAGTAGGATATGGGTTAGGGCTAAAGAACGCTAGATAAGCAGTGTAAATCACTTTTAAATCCACCCACCATCAAAAAAAAAAAAGAAAGGAAGGTAGAATCTTGTGAAAGGAATGGGAATAAGCACATTGCATGCACAAATACTACTTAAATATATAAAATAAGCATCTCATTCATTTTATATAAAACAGAGAGAGATAGAGAGAAGAGGTTACTCTATGAATAAAACATATACCAGAATTGGCTTTGTCCAGTAAATCTTCGTGTAAATATCCATATATAATTAAATGTGCATATGTGCGTATATATACACACAGTAGTTTCCAATTATCTGTGAGGGATATGTTCCAAGATCCCAGTGGATACATGAAACCACAGATAGTACCAAACTCTACATGTACTACTTTTCCTATGCATTTGATAAACTTTAATTTATAAAATTAGGCATAAAAAGAGATCATCAAAAATAAGTAATAATAAAATAGAGCAATTATAACACTATACATCTAATAAAAGTGACACAGACAAGATTCATTTTAATGTTAGATCTTAGCAATATCAACATATTAACAGAAAAGCGAAGACACAGAAGACGGGCAAAGGGGATTTTGTTGAGAAGACGGCAAAGGGAAGTCCCAGAAGACGGGCAAAGGGAGAAGAAAAAGAAGAAGACGAAGACGGGCAAAGGAAGACGAGAAGACGGGCAAAGGGAAAAAAAGAAGACGGGCAAAGGGGAAGACGCAGAAGACGGGCAAAGGAGAAGATGCAGAAGACGGGCAAAGGGGAAGACGCAGAAGACGGGCAAAGGGCAAGAAACAGAAGACGGGCAAAGGGCAAGAAACAGAAGACGGGCAAAAGGCAAGAAACAGAAGACATATAGACGGGCAAAGGGAAGATGCAGAAACGGCAAAGGGAAGATGCAGAAACGGCAAAGGGAAGACGCAGCAGACGGGCAAAGGGGAAGATATAGAAGACGGCAAAGGGCAAGAAACAGAAGACGGGCAAAGGGCAAGAAACAGAAGACGGGCAAAAGGCAAGAAACAGAAGATGGGCAAAGGGGAAGACGCAGCAGACGGGCAAAGGGGAAGACGCAGAAGACGGGCAAAGGGCAAGAAACAGAAGACGGGCAAAGGGCAAGAAACAGAAGACGGGCAAAGGGCAAGAAACAGAAGACGGGCAAAGAGGAAGAAAAAGAAGACGGGCAAAGTGGAAGAAAAAGAAGACGGGCAAAGGGCAAGAAACAGAAGACGGGCAAAGAGGAAGAAACAGAAGACGGGCAAAGGGCAAGAAACAGAAGATGAGCAAAGAGGAAGAAACAGAAGACGGGCAAAGAGGAAGAAACAGAAGACGGGCAAAGAGGAAGAAACAGAAGACGGGCAAAGAGGAAGAAACAGAAGACGGGCAAAGAGGAAGAAGCAGAAGACGGGCAAAGGGAAGAAACAGAAACGGGCAAACAGAAACAGAAGACGGGCAAAGAGGAAGAAACAGAAGACGGGCAAAGAGGAAGAGAAACAGAAGACGGGCAAAGGGAAGAAGAAGACGGGCAAAGGGGAAGACGGGCAAAGGGGAAGACGGACAAAGGGGAAGGCGCAGAAGACGGGCTAAGGGGAAGACGCAGAAGACGGGCAAAGGGGAAGAGAAATCTTATTCATGTGGCATTCTGGTATGATAAAGAATAGAGAGAAAAAGGTTTATGCTTTTCCCAAGAGCAATAGTGTGATATGAACATAATCAACCAAAGCTGGAAATTCTGTTTTCTGTGTAAATTAAGATTACTCCACACTAACATGACTTATGGTTTTATAAAATAAACAAAAGCTTCCTCACATATGACAATATATTTGCTACTTCAATCAGAATAAATACGTAAAAGTAACATAATTTAGCAGCCAAATAAAACCTCTCAGTTACTTTAAAAAGAAAATTTTCAATTTTTTTCATTAACTTTCTAACAACCCTTACAAAAGAATAATCTCTCATTATAAAACCTATACCTCTGTTTTATTTATAAGGTCTGTTCAGAATATAACTAGCTATTCTTGATGTAACTTGGCAGCCAATCAATAGGAACTGTGTATACACAGAGTTTCTCAGTCAACAGTAATGGTAGCATTAGCCATTTCTCTACAAGAAAATATTTGCAATTAATTGACCAAGCAGCCAGTACTGCTTTTGGTTGAGATTTATATAATCTACTAGAACAATTTTTCAGGAAAATAGGCTTTTCAAGTTCTGTAGCTATTATCATTCTTTCCAGTATTGATGGGGATTTCCTTCCTAACCTTTTGTTTTAAGTAGTGTGAAATTTTAACAATTTGCTTATGCCATTATTTTCTCTTTGAACGACATGCACTAATCACTTTAGTTGTTGCTGCTGTTGGTTGTCCTTAAATGATGTTGTTTCTGTTATTTAGTATAGTTCCTTTGCTTGTGATTCTGTATTGCCAGGCCACAGTGTTCAAAGAAGGAAGATCTTTGCCAAAATCCTCAGGCTTAACTCACTCAAAGCCTTTTTTTGTACTGGGTGCCTATTGCATTCATGATAACTGAGTAAGTATATGCCTCACACCGTGTGCATGGACACTGTTCAAAATATTGCATTACTCAAGTCTGTTAACCACCCTCTTTCCATTCAGATTTGCTTCCCTATCGCTTCTGTTTTTTCCCCAAAGCTCAAAAAATAAATAAAGGGTTCATTTTGAAATTCCTTTAAAGTTACCTAGATTGACAAACATCTGAAGACAATTAGAGGGTACAATGGCTGAAACGTTGTGATAGCCGCAACAAAGCTGAGAACAATAGGCCTAAAGTAAATAATGTAGATAATGATAACTCCTCATTACAGAAATTTAAAAATAAAATTGCTGTTGAAATGTCATAGACAAGATTAAGAAACACTCAACAAGGTAACTGATGGCAATCCTGAAAGACAGCATTGAAGACCTGAAAAAAAAAAAGTGGAAGACATGCTGGTTTGGTTTGGTTTGTTTTATGGCATATCAACCACAATGGGTTATTTAATGCCGACAAAATTTCCTTTTTTTCCCAAAAAATGTATAGCTGGTAATATTTTTTTTTTAAAATGTATAGTTTGGTTTGTTTTGTTTTGTGGCATATTAACCTCAATGGGTTATTTAATGCTGACAAAATTTTTATTTCTGGTAATATTTTCTTTTTTCAAATATTTATTGCTGACACTAATTTTTTAAAAAGTATTTCTAGTATTAAAATCTATTTTCACACTTTCATAGTGTTGTGAGTCAGGTTATGGAGTCAACTATTTGCCCATAGCTGGGACCCTAACAGGTGCTATCACCCCAGGTCAGAGTGGACCTGGGAACATCAGCAATTAAGAGGTGGTTCCACGCTCCTCAAAACCTCCTTGTTGTTGGATGTAGTTTATTGTCTTACCCAGGACATGGATGCAGTTTATTATCATACCCAGGACGAGGAAGACATGCTGGAATAAGTGTGTAAAGACCTACAGATAGTATTTTATAGAGGACTAACACACCATTGCCCTAGGTAGGCCTTTTTTGTTAATATTAAATGGCTGGACATTCTATACAAACTTCATATAGCTAGTATATATAATGGGTATGAGAAGATAAAGAAAAAAATAAAGAAAGTTTATCAATCTAAAATGTTTCACTTTAACCTTTAGCACAAGAAATGAAAAAGTTTCAGGAATTCTCTCCCTTCGCATGCTAAAGGTAAATTCTGTAAAATTTTACAGATTGTTGCTATAAATAAACACTTGTCAACTGTTATTTTCGGAAATAACAGTTGACAAGTATTTATTTATAGCAACAGTCTCAAGGAAACAGAATGCACCTACAGCATGCAAAGGGAGAGAATTCTATGGTGACAAATTTCACCTCAAGCATGCTAATGTTATCGCTTCATCAGAGATTGCAGGAAAACAGACAAAAAGACAGAATCTTGGTATTTTCAATTTTGTTTGGATAATTTCTCATTGGTTACTCATGTATCACATGCATTGAAACTGTAGATAATTCTATATGTATGTAAGATAGTAAAAACTCTAATATGTCGAGGTGGGCATTGGATGGTAATGTGTATTTTGTGTATGTGTGTCTGTCTAGTAGGAGGAGTTCTAATGTTTTCATTTTTGTGTGGTCAGTTGGCATAGTTGGGTGGTATTCTTTGTATTAGATAAGTATAAGTTAGATTCTTTAAGAATGGATTCAAAGAAGGATAGCAATGTAATGTGTATATAATCAAAACATAGAGACTTATTGCAAAAGTGTAAAGATTGGGATTAAATAACAGTATGTCCAAGTAATTGTAAAGACTCTTCATATGTAAAATGACATTAATTATATTCTTACCTGACTAAGGGCTTAGCTACAGTCCATAACAGCTTCTGAAGACCAGGTAACTTTGTATTACCAGCTTTTATAGATACAAGGTCCTCGTCTTGACCCTCATCAATATACTGCTTTAATATACTCATAAATTCTCCTTCAGTTCTGAAAGAAAAAAAAATTAAATAATATCAGATTATCAACATTAATCACACATTAAGAATGTTTTTCTTTTTATATTGAGGAATGAGATTTTTTTCTTTGTTGCCCACCTGTAACTGTTACATTCTGGCTGAAAATGTACACACACAATCAATTACAAATAAAAAACAATTGATTCACTTATTTAATTTTTTTTTACTAAAATTTCACAGACATGAAAAATCAAAATCAAAGAACAGACACCAAAGTCTGGATTTCTCACATAGGCGTGAAAAAACTGTGGATTCACTAAATTCACTTAATCCAACCCCACACCAAGCCTTTTAAAAATGTTCAAATTTTTTTCACACCTTTTGCTCACATCTTGTAAGTGGGGTTTATCCCCACCAGCTGACAGCATGTTTTGGAAACAATTTTTTTTTTTATTGCTGGCTAGCTGGCTTTGAGCCAGCCATATCAAAGACAAATTAGCTTCTTTTGAATCCTATCTTCTTCCTTATTGTTATGGAGTGATTTCACAGTGGAGGCTTGTATTTGTACTAAGTCGGTCATAAAATAGGTTCGACGTACAAAACGTTAGGAACTTCATATAATAGGTATGACGCAGAGAAATATATTTGTGGTCACTGATAGTTTAGTATTCGACTAAGTGTTGTCCGACATCAACTGACTGACCGACCCACTGAGCGACTCATTACTCTTACTACTTCTACTTATTATAGGTGGGAGAGTCTATTAACTATAGAATAGGTGTGTTCGACTATAACACTTATTGATGCTTTTCTTGCAAAAATTATTGAAATTATGCTATTTTTTTCTTTTCTTAAAACTCACATGGACCAAACATTCTTCAATTCCCTCCTCTGAATTCTCGATTCCTGGCTATCTTACTCTCTTTAGGAAGGACTCCAGTGTCTATATGTATGGCCTGGGTGTTTGGGAACATCACCCACTGGCTAGGGAACTCTCTCTTGAGTCTCCAGATCATTCTTACATGTTCCCCTGTCTTTCTCTACTAAACTCAGTCAGCTATCTCTTCTTTCTCTATCATTCCCCTTCTTCTCATGACTGTTGTGTGCTAGATAGTATTTCTGATAATATAGATAAAGCCCTCTTTCTTCACCCATTTGCAAATATCTTTTTATTTGGCAACTTTAATGCCCACCATATCAGGTGGCTTAATCACTTTGTTACTGACTTTGCTGTCATCCAAACTCTGAACTTCACTATCATTCAATCTCTCACACAAGTGGTGGACTTCCCTGCACATTTCCCCAGTAATTCTGATAGATACACTTCTCTTCTTTACCTCTACCCCTGACTCATGTTATACTCTGCAGCTTTGCCCTCTTGGCACTCCAATCAGGTGGTAGTGTCTGTAAATGTCTCTTTCTGCCAATATCTGTTGGAATGAAGTTTTTAATCATGCTGAGAAAAAATATGCAACTGAGGTCTCCACCTAGGTGAAAGCTGGCATCAAAGCTTTCATTACAGTATGGAAATACAAAGTGAAACCACAATCATCTCTTTGGTTCTCATCTGCATGCTCAGCTGTGATAGCTTACAGTAATCACTTCTTTCAGCTGTACCAGAGAGACAGGTTTGATTGTAACAGACATCTCTTTATCATTGCTTGTAATGAATCCAATTGTGTCCTCAAAGAAGTGAGTTACTGTTTGCTGATAGAATGAAACAATGTATAGCTTCTCACAAGTTTGGTTCTGGCAGCTCTGGAAGAGTGTGCTGAACAACAGCAAATCCTCAGTCACTACACTCTTCAATCAATTTGAAGTTCTGACCTTTACAGCAGATAAGTTTTAGTGCTTTGCTTGGAAGTTCTCTTCCAACTCCACATTCAATTCATCTGAAGTACCCATGACTGATTTCCCCTTTAGAACAGAAACTCTACAGAGGGATATGCACATAATCCATCACTGATTTCAAACATCATTTCCAAACTAGACTCCCACAAGGCAAGCATATGTGAAAAGATCCCTGCTGTTGTCCTAAAGAAATGTGCTCCTGAGCTGACTCCAGTTCTTTCCAAACTCTACAATAACTGCCTGATTGCTTCCTTACTTAGAAGTCCTCCTCTGTAGTTCCTGTTTTTAAGAACTCTGAAGAACCCTCTAAGCCTTAAATTCTCTTAGTCTCTTAACACATTTTGGCAAACTATTCAAGTATCTGATCAATGTTGAAGTGGTTAAGCATCTTACTTCTCACAACCTCCTTTCAGACAAAAAATATAACTTTTGTTTTGTTGATGCCATCACTGAATTTGTATATCAAGCTCTAGATAAGAATGGCGAAGCTTGGGTTGTGGCTCTAGATATCTCAAAGGCATTTGACAGGTTTTGGCATGCTGGCCTTTTTAAAAAGTATAGTGCTATGAAAAGGAACAGGATGAATAATTGGTTTAATCCAATCATTCCTATCAAATCATAAAATGAAGTTTCTGTTGAATAGGCTCAGTTCCAAATTCTTTCATATGAATGAGGGGGACCCTAATACTTTATCCTGGGTCCTATGCTGTTTCTAATATTCAATGATTTCCCCAATGTATTTATGTAGATGACACTACCATTTACTTCTGTCAGACGGGCAAAGGGGAAGACGCAGAAGACGGGCAAAGGGGAAGACGCAGAAGACGGGCAAAGGGGAAGACGCAGAAGACGGACAAAGGGGAAGAAAAAGAAGACGGGCAAAGAGGAAGAAACAGAAGACGGGCAAAGGGGAAGACGCAGAAGACGGGCAAAGGGGAAGACGCAGAAGACAGGCAAAGGGCAAGAAACAGAAGACGGGCAAAGGGCAAGAAACAGAAGACGGGCAAAAGGCAAGAAACAGAAGACGCAGCAGACGGGCAAAGGGGAAGACGCAGAATACGGGCAAAAGAAGCTCCAATTAGTTAACTGGGGCAAGAAATGGCTTGTAAATTTTAACACCTCAAAAACAAAACTGCTTTCATTTAACCATCACAGAGAACCTTTTCTGCCTATCATCAGCATGGCTGATGCTAAACTCCAGGAGAACAAAACACTGCGTTCTTGGCCTCATGTTTTACACTGACATGAAGTGGAGCACCTACATCGAATCAATGGCTACATCTACTGCAAGGAAAGTTGGGTCATTGTGTCATGCTAGAAAATTTTTCTTATCAGAATCCATTTTGCACATTTACAAATCTACCATTCATCCGTGCATTGAATACTGTTGTCATATCTGGTCTTGTGTCCCTGCTGTAGATCTAGAGATTCTTGACAAAATCCAAAGAAGGATCTGCAATGTAATCAATCCTGACCAGACATCTTTACTTGACAGTTACTTTCTCACTGATGTGACATGGTCTCCCTGTGTCTTTTCTACAAATATTTTCATGGCAACTGCTCTGACAAGCTTTTTTCCATCCTGACCCCTCGACTATATGAATTTAAGCATGCTACTAGATTGGCATCTAGGTACCACCCTTTTACTGCTGAAATAGCTAAATGCAACTGTCATTTCTACTCCAACAAGTTCCTTTTCTCACCCACCTGTTGAACTCTCTTCCATTTCCTTACTTCCCTGATAACTACAATCTTCAAAAATTTAAATGCAACATCAATTGCTAATCTTCTTGAACCCTGTTCATCTTTTGTCCTTTCCTCAATCCTCCCTAATCTTTTTCACTTTCACTCCCTGTAATCCACTGTGTATAAGTGACATTGCTACCTTGCTTGGGGGTGCAATGGTTAAATAAAATCTTGTATTTTGTCAGCTTTAAAACATGTGACATGAACAATATGCATATTTTTGTTTAATATCTTTTTTCATCAAGATAATGAAACTAATTCCAATAATTTCATGCCTTATCAAAATCTGGGTGAAATTTCTTTGACCAAAAATATTTTCAAAATATCTTTAACTAAATTATAGCAGGAAATTGAAGAATAATCAAAATTAATGCTTTGTACTTTTTGCTGGTTCTTAGTTCAAATCTTACTACATAAATGATAAAGCATCACTAATCCTGATGGTAGAAAGAATAAATGGTAAACTCCCATCTCACAAAATCCAAACCTTAGAATGAATAGGTAACATGTAGATAATTTCATGAATGTATAACAACATTTTGGGTTACAGGACAACTGCCCCCCTAGACAATTTCCCCATAGGACAACTGGCCTTGGACAATGGAAAGGGCAATTTTTTTTTAAGTTTTGCTTTTACTTCAATAACAAAGATAAATTTCTAAGAACCATCTTGAAGTTTATGGGATTATCCTGACCTGACAAAATGAAATGTAAGAACTGATTATTGTAATTATTATCTTTTTACAAACATTATTTTAACCAGACATTTATTAATTAATAATTATTGTATTTGCATAGAGCCCACAATTCACAATTTTAGTAGTATAATTATAGTGATATAAAAATATAAATCTTATTATTGAATAATTCTTCTTATTGGATAAGTTGTTCTTTCTCTTAATTTTCTTTTAATGGGAGAAATTGTCTGGGTGACAGTTGTCCTATGGGAACAATTGTCCTGGAAGCAATTGTCTCTCCTGATACCAACATTCTGCAAATAAAGAAAAGAGAGAGATACATGCATTGAACTGTCAGCTCATTACACAGAACTTAGAGATCATTATCAGAAAGCAAATATAGGGTTATAATATTCCAACATCATAGAAAACAACAAATATGGACTTTGAGATAAAAATTAAGTTTCAAAAATAAAAAAGATACATCATTTTTCCTTTTAATTTGAATAGAAGTCTTTATAGTTATATAATATTGTTTTCTATGATTAAAAAAAATCTTAATATAAAAAAGTTTTTTTGCTATATGTTAATATATGTGTATTGACAATATGGGAAAGTAAATGCACATGCTAAATACAGTCACTCAAAGTCTGTTATTTAAGGCCAAGAAAGAAGCAAACATGTTCAAAAGACAGGAAATTAGGAAAATGGTATTAGTCTGGCAAACACTTTACACAGCTGGGTCTGAAGATGGACATCAAAGTATTTCTAGAATTTAAAGGACTTTAAGAAAGAAACAAGAAAGTAGAATGATAATTATAAGCAGGTAAACCTCAATTGCAAGAAGACAGAATGTATGGTTGTTAGCAAAAAGGGACAGCTCAACATGCAAATTACAAATGGGAGATACCAAAAATCAAATAATTTAAATATCTGGGAAGTGTTTTAACAGAGGACAGAAAGTGTGAAAGTGAAATTCGAAGGCACATTTGGATAGCAAATAATGCCTTCCAAAAGTAAGTAAAGTATTAAGAAACAAGAACATTTTGATAGAAACAAAGAAAAGAGTACTGAGCTGTTATATCAGTCCTCCTACATGGTAGTGAATGCTGGACAACCTCCTCCTCACAGATGAAGAAGAAACTTGAACCAACAGAAATGTGGTTCTACAGAAGGATGTTGAGAATACCATGGACAGAACATGTGAGCAACAACAAAATTTTAGAGAAAATGGAAATAAAAAAGACATTTATACTTAACATTAGAAAGAGATAGTTTAAATTTCCAGGGCATATAATGAGGAAAGAGGATTTGATAATCACAGGAGAAATTGAAGGCAAGAGGGATAGAGGAAAACAATGCATAATCTCCCTAGCAAGCTTGAGTAAATGGATGGTAGAACAAGGTTTAGGAGGGATAACAAAAAGACAAAATTTATTAAGGGCTACAAAGGACAGGAAATTGAGGAGAGCCATAATTGCCAACATCCTGAAGAGACACAACACAGAAGAATTATGTTTTGGAGTTAATGGACTCTATTAGAGTTTAATTTATTTTACATCTGATAAAACTGTTCAAATTTTTTATTTCATTTGTAATTGCTAATACACTTTAATTATTTTGAACTACTGTTCACATTTTGTTTGTTATTGATGTTATAAATAAACAGAAATACAAAATTATTTAAACTGTCCAAATTTTCTCTCATTAAAGAACAAGCTTCCAATGTGACTTATTCTTTCTGACATATGCCAATTACTCAAGAGTGCAGATGGGCAAGTTTTGAAAAAGCTTGTTCCGATCATGTTAAGAATGACTGCAAAAATATTTCCCTCCCTAAATTTATAGACAAATCACACACATGCATGATGGGAGTTCTTCCTACCCAATAAGATAGGCCACTTCTAATTCTCATCTACTATATTCTTCTTCTTTCTCATCTTGAAATCAGAATGCTACAATCACTTGTCTGTATCCCTTTAGTGTGTTAACACTATTCTTAGTTCATTAACTTTCCCCCTCGTTACTGTTGCTTTGACTACTTTGTCATGTATATATTGTTTTCTTAATATTATTCTTGCCCTGTTCTTTTCTTTCTTTTGTTATTGTTTATTGCAAACTTTGTCAATCTGCTTTGTTGGGCATTTCTGTCAATTAAATTTACAATGGTCAGTAAAAAATTAACATTACCTCTGTCCTGTTGTAATCATACTATTTAGTGTATGAAATGTAAATGTAATGTCTATTATGAGACAGAAGTGGTAATAATAAAAAGTCATCTGTCAATCAAAAATAATTTACACCATAAATATCTGATATTTGTAAAGTTAAAATGACAGAAAATTCTGTCTCCATTATCTATATATAAAATTCTGTAACTTCTGTTAGCCCATTTGTTCATCACACTCTCTAAAATACCATACATTGACTGATCAAAACCAAAGTTTGGGGAGAAGTGCAAACAGGCAAGGGGGTAAAAAGTACAGTTGGTTTTACTAGGGTGCATAGCTTAGTACAATAAATTTTCATTAATTTGGGGAGAAAAATTTAAAGTTTTATTATTTAACATACAAAACACTATTTTAAAACATTTTAATGATTAAAATAACAAATACTTATTTAATAAAAATGCAATATTGTTTTTTTGCATATTTTTTTTAAGTTTTTTATATAAAAGAATCCAGTTTTAGTTCAATGCGTTTACAAGAACTATAAACAAATCACAATGACCAAACACTTCAAAAAAGTTGGAATTTGGCCCCAGAAATAAATATTTACACATGGCCAGTTGTATGTTGCATGCTCAAGAGTAAGAAATCCTAAGAATTTATTCTTCATTGTTAAAAAGGAAAAAAAGAAATTTTCTTAAAAAAATATTGTTTACCATAAAGTCCTATAAAATTAAATTAAAGAAATTATTAAACCACAAAGTAGGGTTTCTATCAAAGTATTTTTCCAAATAATTCAAATTTTATCAATTGGTTTGCGAAATTGAACAAAACGTAGAGTTTATAAATATCGACAAAAATGTTAGCAATAACTTCAACAATACTTAATATTGTGAGGATTTCAACACGTATCAACGTGTTGCAAAAAAAAAAAAAAAAAAAAAACTAGTATCATATAAAAGCTGACTTTAGGGAAGCCTTATATTGAAATGAACTGAACCTGACAAGCATTTCAAGATGCAAATCTAAGCAGATATTTAATGGCAAGCAAGTATTCTTGGCATTTTTATAAACATGCACATAAATCCATTTTTTTTTCTTTGGTCCTTTCATAGATGTCTTATAGAATGGGCAAAGACAATTATGTTGATATTTTATAATTTAAAAAATAATTTATATTTTTTTCATTTATTAAAAACTTAAAACATTACTCTATTATAATTAAAAATACATGTTTAAACAGATAAGATTATGTAAAGAAATTTTTCACTAACATTTTAATTTATAGAAAAGCATGCAAACAAAATATACAACTATGGAGTGTCAGAGTGGAAAAGAAAATTGTTTTGAGGCATAACTACAGAGGTTATTGTATAAAAGACTCTGATATATAAAGTTAACTATGAATTTATCAAGAATAGTTTTTCTCACTTTCTTTATATATTCAGGGAAAGTGGGAAAAAGTTTTCATTTGACACATT